GACCTCACGAAGTTCGATAGGAGCGAATTTTGAGCCTTTACACCTTGCCAGCAGTTGAGGTCGAAATTTAAGTCAGACTGCATTTTATGTTGATTATCACGGTGTCATCGTCAGCTATTAGGTGGGCCAAGGTGAACTGCAACCACAACGGAAACTTGCATTGGACAGCATGACCACACCGCCATAGCATGCTGTCCCTGCTACTGTCATGGACTTACTACCAGTTTCTCAGCCGGTTGCTTGTTCAGGGAATTCGCAGTAAAGCGAAGTATGTCCCCTGTGCGAATTCTAACCCAACATCTACCTGTTCAAAGCCGACATCTTTGCAATATGTGCCAACACAGTACCGTGATCGTCGATGCCAGGAGTCACTTCCGATTGAAACTACTTTCAAGTATAAATTTGCTAGAGGAGCAAACTACTATCAACGAAGTTTGATTTTGAAGTTGAAATACGCAAATCAGACATAAGCTTCATCTTCTGGCACCGAAAACACGCCACAGAATACTCTATGAAAGCAAATGTATAGAAGATTTCCTAGAATAAAAGAAGTAAAATTGGACTTGGACTTGGTCGTAAAACTTAACTGTCCCGGGGAAAAGTCGAACATGCGGCCGATAACCTCGACCAGAATTCATTATTAAACTAGCCCCAACCGGTCACTATACCTAAGAATAATCTTTCGACACGTCCACTTTCTGGAGATCCTCATCAAACTGGCAAAGCTGGCGCCTTTTTGACTACGAATTCGTCAACTCCAGTCATCAGCATTGAAAATTGGACAAAAAACAAGTCTAAGCCAATCTACAGGGTTCTCAGCACTTTGAGATCAACAACTACTGCGGCTTGTGTCCTCATCCTTCATTTCGTTAGCACTGTTTCAATCGATCTTCAACAACAGACTAAATTACTTAACTAATTTCAAAGTTTTGGCGCGCCCAGGATTTTCTTCTGGAAGACCTACTTTATTGCTGGCTAGTGAATGAGCAACGAGGAAAGTGTAAATGCCTTGAATTGCTAGTTTCCAATCGGTACATGATGAAATGTTTTGGAAAATCTGCAATACTATTGCATACTTGAGCACAAAGGTTCTATTTTGGAAGAGATGCAAGAACAATGTCTGTTGTCAAAGAAGGAAAGCTGTCAGAACGGTTCCTTGTTGACTGCAGAGTCCACCGAAGAGAGATGTTCTTTTTTCTGCACTATTTAACATTCTTTACCACTTTCTTCTCTGAAATAGTCCTGAACCAGGCAAAATCGAAGAACTCATTCAAAAGGGGAGGCGCAGTTCAATATACACGGTAAGACATCTTGTCAACGTGGAGTACGCAGACGATATTGGTCTCTAGAGTAGTACGGGGGTGCGAAACCAGTTCTCAACCTTAACGTCGAAAAGTCAAGAGCTATGAAAAACCCATCCAAGAACAGTTATCTACAAGTTAAACAGGAAGGTGAATCGCTTCAGAATGTCGATCTGCAGATTTATGTAAATCTGCTCCACTATTTCAAGCGATGGCCCCAGCGAGTCAAAATTAAGTTCGAGGATCGCCCTCGCTAGAAGCACGTTTAGTCATCTATCAAATGCTTCAGCTAACAAATCTTCAGCTGACAAAGGAGCAACTCTTTCTACGAAAGTCAACGGATACTTTCTTTCTGTCAACCAAGACCTGCTGTACGACATGGAAATAGCTGTTCTAACGAAGGAACAAAAGCGACGGTTGAATTGCGTACGGTCAAATGGCAGGACTACGCAAGAATGACCCTGATCGTCCGGGCACTATGAGTCCGGAGGTTGTGAAAATTAAGAAAATGAGGTCAGCTTCGTTAAACAGTCTCGTTGGCAAAAAAGCTTCTGCTTCTGGACTTGCCGTGTGGGAGCCAAAACACGGCAAACGTCGAGCAGGGCGGCTAGCACTCAGGAAGTGCTGAAAGGCTGTGAACCACTGGGCTTCACAAATCACATACGTTTTGCAAACGGAAACATATCTTAACAAACACACACAACAAGATAGATTAATATGCAAATGTACATATGACTAAGTAAAACCCTTACTTTACAGTTAGAATCTGGTTTTGAACGTCTCTGCCAAATCCTGCGGAGACCTGCATCGAACTTGTCACAACAAACCAACCTTCACAATTTTTTCCGAGCAGCATCCGCAAGAACTGGCCTTGTTTTTCATTCGATCATTTTTTATGCGCAGCGTACGAGTTTCTTACTGATTTGAATATCACGAATTTTCGGCCAATATACTTATAGGGCTACGTCACATGATTATAATATTGACGTGTAGGAGATCTAACTGCAGATACACGCACTTGAGCATTTTTCTTTCGCATATTTTTTAATTTTCGACAATCACTGAAATTAAGAGGCAACTGGAATGGCAGCTACGCACAACAAAAGAATGATACAGATTTCTTTGAACTTAGTCACGAGAGGGTATCTTGTTTTTCAGTGAATTTATCAACAGATGCATTGCATTGGTTGCAAATAAATTAAAACGCACAAAGTACTAAAGCCGACTGACCGATACGATTGGCTATATCGCATTCCACGGACCGGTTGAATTCCAAATCAACAAAACGCTCTGAAGAAGAATAGACTATGTATGACTTTGAATTATCGCCAAACGAGTAAGATGTGATTCTTTGATTATCTGGCACCAATCAAATCGTCGGTTGGCTAACAGCAGACGAATAAGCAGTTAGTAAAGTACTATACGACGATTGTATCGACAGATCAAACCGAGCCGTCAGACAAAGAGGTGGCTTTGACGAACTGCATCGACAGGTGATTAGCGGCGTCTTGAGGAGGAGGATCATTAGAGGGCTCATGACTGTAACTGACGGACGTGGTCTCCTCGCGGCTGCACGAAGGGGACGGTTGTGGCGATGGCATTTCCGACAACACCGGGGCAGCGGCGGCGTTCAGACGATCACGATTGTTCATGCTAGAGATGCGCAACTGCTGCAAAAGCCGAACAGCCGTCGTGGCGTAATACGCCTTCTGAAACACACACGCATTTTTAATATCTACGTATTAGCCGATAAGCAGTTTAGATGGAGTGCTACCTTTTTCCCTGTCTAGTCTTTAGGATTAACATGAAATAAGTTGCATTCAATTTCAATACAATGCAAATACCAGATGGGG